TGTGTCTTCTAAAGGATGTGAATTCGCTTCCCTCCGAGGAAGTGTCAATCCCAGCTCATTGACGGGAGCGGCCAAATCATAGAATGGTGGAGTTGGTCCACTAATCCAGCCTTCTGCAACATGCAGAAGAACCAGTTAAATCATCTTTGATAAGTCTAGCTTCCTCTTAAAATTCTCCCAAGTTGTTGCTTTTTTTTTGTTTTTTCGAAAAAGGACTTGATATCTTTTGTTTGATAGGTGATGGTCATTCTGATAAGATAAATGCATTTGTCTGGTATTGGCTTAATATGTCTTTGCAAAGCAGTAGAGAAAAATCCCAACTGGGTTTATTTAAATCTCAGCCTAACGTGAAGTTGTTGTTGTTGTTGTTGTTGTTGTTNTCCTCCTCCTCCTTCTTCTCCTCCTCTTCTTCCTTCTCCTCCTCCTCCTCCTCTTCTTCTTCTTCTTCTTCTTCTTCTTCTTCTTCTTCTTCTTCTTCTTCTTCTTCTTCTTCTTCTCCTCCTTCTCCTTCTCCTTCTCCTTCTCCTCCTCCTCCTCCTCCTCCTCTTCTTTCTTCTTTCTTCTTTCTTCTTCCTTCTCATTTTGGGAAGCTAGTTTGTTTGTGCCCTTTGCATCTGCTCATCTCTTTTACTCAGAAGAAAGTCCTATTAACTGTGTTTAGAATTGCCTTTTGAGTTGAGCTTTTTGATGAAAATTGCCTTCAGCTACTCAGGTATTCTCTTTATAAGTGGGCTTTGGGTGCAGAACAAAAAATAATAATAATCCGAGAACAGAAAGAAAAGTGGAAGAGATGAAGATTATAGAGACTTTTATTTTAAAAGAATGTGTTTCCTAACTAGGGCCTTTCATTAGATTAATAGGCATTCAGAACCACCAGGAGGAAAGAGAGTTGTTTAAAAAAAAATCAGATCCCTTGTAGAAGTGCAATATTTTTGTCCGAATGCAAAAACTGTACTTTTTCTCTGCAGGGTTTTGTTAATCTACACAGCCTCACCTCCGGAGACAATTCCATCAATATTTTTGCAAATTGGGGCTGTTTCAGACACTTAGCCCTGCGGCTTAAGGCTTAATCGCAAAGGAAATGCTTTCCTTTTGTGTTTAAAATCACCCTTTCAGGATTTCCCTTAGTGCTGCTTTGTGTATTTCAGTTCTCTGGGTTTGATTCTCCTGCACTGCTAGCCAACTGAGTGAATTCTACTCAGCTTTGTGGGGAACACATACCTCCTGTTTTAAATAATTAAAAAAAAATAGCTGACTGGGATGCAATTAGCTGGTTTGGATGCAGGATGAGCCTTGTGTGTGCGTGCATGTCTGCATCTCTTAATGCAAATAGCAGGGGGGGGAAAATCCCACAATGGGGCGGTGCGTGGCTTCTTTCTTTTTTTTCCAAGCACCCCGAAGCAACAAAGCTCCCTGGCCTTGGATGCCTTTGGAGTTGCCAGAGTGAGTGTATTTGTGAGTGTGTTTGCATCGCCACCTCCTAAACACCCTGACTCCTCCTCTAGGGAGGAGGTGGGGACCAGCTCCAAAGTGATGCTTCAGCTAGGATTCCTAAGGGCGATCCATTCGTTTTCTGCCAGATGGCACGTCCACCACGTAAGATCTCCGGAGCTGCATTAGGACTGGCTGAGGATGGAGTTAAGGAAAAAGTGGCAGCGTGATTCTTCGCACGAACTCTTACAAGCAGGGCTGGGCGAAAGCTTTTGCACGAGTCCTAATGCATAGAGACGGCTCCCTATCTTTTTAAGTCTTGAGTTGAGCGATTGCAATAAAATATATATATATATTTAAAGCCTTACGATCGGTCAAATTATTGATATTTTCGCTGTCTCGTGGGCAGGCTCTAAACTTTTACGATGTTTAATCTACTTCATAGCCCGTGAAAGGGATCTACGTCTGAACTTCATAATCTAGGAAGGCAAAATACATTTCACCTCTAGAAGTTTTGTTTTAAAAAATTACGTTTGATGCAAAAAGACCCCGCTTTCTTTGAATTGGATTCTCTCCCGATTTTTCTTCCTAGCCTTGTTGTTATAAAGGGATTTGCGTCCAAATCAATCTGCTTGCTTGCTTAGCATGATTTGTAAAATAGATCCATTTTGGGAAGGAACAAAAGTCCAGACCGTTTAAAGCATACACATATTCAGGTTTTATTATAATCCCAGCCAAATTTCCTGCTGGCTAAAGCAGGTTCCTTGCTAATTGGAAGTGAGCTGTGTTTTTATCTCTGAGCCTGGCTCTAAATGTGCATATAACTTGTCTTGAAATTATTTAAAGTGCCAAGGAGAAAATCTTGATATAAATATCCACTCTTAGTTTATTCGCTATTTGTTTTGCCACTGATAATTCTTCCACTGATTCTTAGCAGTGTAGCCTTTGGTTACCAGGTGGAAAAACAGGGTTCCATTCCATGCACTTTTCATGTTGTTTATTATAGTAATCAAACAATATTTATAGTGTTAATTCAAGAATAGTAGATCCCATTCCTAGTCTTTTAAAGCTTTAGATGCAGCCATGTGAAGAATACTCATACACATCGCTCTTTTTTGCACTGTCTCTTCCCCGCCTTCCCTACAGGCCAGGTTTGTTAGGTCTGCGACAGAATTTACTATAAGCCACGAATCATGGTTTATAAAGAACATCGTGGCTTAGTGTGATGCATGGAAGCAAATGGTGCAGTCACACATGCCTTGTGTAGTTCAGCTTTGCCATTGCCATGTCATTTGAGAAACAGGAGCCAAAATACCAGATTTTTTAGAATTGATGGCTTGGCTGGAAACAAGCATTTGGATACAGTGGGAATTTAAACCACAAGCCCACATTTGATTGGAAGGCAGTTCTGGGTTTAGCAAAGCCGTTAATCTAGATTTATGAGACAACAAGTATAGCCTTAACGTAGTCGAGGTACGATTTAATTGCAAGTTACTCTTTTTTCCTTAACCTAAAAGATTTTTTAAAATCTAGCTTTTCTAAAATATCAGTTTTTCAGTCCAGTGGTGTAGATAATGATGGGGTGGGCCTTTAAATGCCATGTAGGTGTGTTGTGAGATGCTTTAGAGATCCCAAGAATATTTTAAGACGGGGGGTCTTCAAAACTTGGTCCTTTTATGACGTGTGGACTTCATCCCAGAATTCCTCAGCCAGGCACGCTGGCTGAGGAATTCTGGGAGTTGAAGTCCACAAGTCATAAAAGGACCAAGTTTTGAAGACCCCTGTTTTAAGACAAGTCTCGGCCAGGGGTCTCCAAACTTGTCAACTTGAAGACTTGCGGACTTCAACTCCCAGAATTCCCCAGCCAGCTGTGGGAGTTGAATTCAACTCCCAGTTGAATTCTGGGAGTTGGAGTCCACAAGTCTTAAAGTTGCCAACTTTGGGGACCCCTGATTTAAGCCACACGGATTGCTGGCATATTGCAACAGCCATCCTGGCTGAGCTAGATGGGAGTTGTAGCTGAACGCCTCACGCCAGGAAAGATCATTTTTAGGACAAGAGAAAAACTTAACCTTGTGGAAAAGAATAATAAGACACCCAGGCAGTTTTCATTTCTGGTGTATATTTTATCACCCAGGCCGTTTGTGAGTGATGCATTTCAAAGAGGTGAGGAAGGGATGTGGTTTGACCAACTCCCTTGATCAAGGAAGGCTTTATTTTGCATAAAAGCCTGATTTGACTAAGTGGAACAAATTTGATTTGGAGAGAGGAGAAGGGTAAAATTGGGGGGGGGGGGGTCCCTATGTTTTTGTGCGATTGAATGTAGGTCCTTAACTAATCCTTAACTAATGGCACTCACCCACCATGTGCCTTTTTTATTAAATATGTTTGCCTTCCATCTCGCCAGAAGGCAACTCTTTTTCAACCTGATCTGTGTTATTTGTGATATTAGCCCCATTCTGCAGATAAGGAAGACTGAGGCTGAGAAACGGTGTGTTTACAGCCATGCACCAAGATCGTGGAAGAATTTGGATTTTTAAAAAATATATATATATATGTTATTTTTAACCTAATCACCTTAATATTTGGTAAGCAGCGCGTTGTCTGGGTTTATATTTAAAAAAACAATAACAATTAATTTCTCTTAATTCTGTAGTCCACATAATGGCTTCGCTTGGTTTTCTCTTCTTCCAATAATATTCCCTTGTGCCAACCTTACATTAATACAGTTCTTGTTTATTTGAATAAATGACAATTAAATATAGACATTTTTCTCATGTTTCTGCAAATAATAACCACATCAGTATAAAGCCTCTTTTCTAATTGATCCTCTGGATTGCCTCGTCATAAGATCCTGTTGACAAAATTCTTATTTAAATTTGTTTTCCCCACAATATTCCAAACATTCTTTACTGGCTAAGATTTTCTCAGAATTAGTTACACTGAAGTATTTAAGTCTTTTTTCTCACACAAGGGAAGAAGAATTTGGATTTTTAAGGGTAGCCTTTTCCATTTGCAAGTGAGCTGTTTTTTTTAAACTTTTGATTAAGCCAGGGTTAGGCAACCTTGGCTCTTTTATGACACGTGGACTTCAACTCCCAGAATTCCTGAGCCAGCCATGCTGAGGAGAAAGGCAGAGGTTTCCAAACTGAGCCATGCTGGCTGAGGAATTCTGGGAGTTGAAGTTCACGAGTCTTAAATTAGCCAAAGTTGAGGAGCCCTGATATAGGCCAGGGGTGGGGGCAACCTTGGTTCTTTTATGACTCGTGGACTTCAACTCCCAGAATTCCTGAGCCAGCCACGCTGAGGGGAAAGGGAGAGGTTTCCAAGCTGAGCCATGCTGGCTCAGGAATTCTGGGAGTTGAAGTCCACGAGTCATAAAAGAGCCAAGGTTGCCTACCGCTGGACTAAGCAAAGTTCCCGGGTCGTCTCTCTCTCTTTTTTGCTACTTACGTATGTTTGGGTATGCCTGTATTGGAAATAAAAGTACAATATAAAAGCCATTTCGCCCTAAAATATTTTTTTAACTATCTTTTTTTTTTTCTTTCTTTCTGTCTTCTTCCCTGCAGTATGTGGCCCACAACTCACCAATTCCCCCACGGTCATCGTGATGGTGGGTCTGCCGGCTCGCGGGAAAACCTACATTTCAAAAAAACTCACCCGCTACCTCAACTGGATTGGTGTGCCGACAAAAGGTGAGTGTCAACGCTGCTAACTATATCGGAGGTTTTTGCCTCGACAACAGACGGAGATGCAACCCTTTTCTTTTTATGTTTTACTCTTAGAGTTAGAGCTAGAGTTAGATGATGCCCGGGGGGGGGGGGAGGAATGTGCATGAGAGTTTAGCTAGACATAACCATACTGAACCTAGCGTGAGAATCAAGGTTATTGAAATAAGAGATGATAAGAATTGGCGGCTGGAGAACTGGAGGGGAAGCCTGCATTTCTAACTAATTGGAGAATGTGATTTATGACTCTTAATTGGAGGAGGGAATTGTGCTTAGAGGAGGGGAATCCAGTTTTTGGCTTCGACTGTGTTAGTGCCGATGCTATGCTTCTCAAATAAAGATTCTTTAAGGTAAACAATGCCTCAAAGTTCTTTGAAGAGTTTCATCTGTCGGAACCATGACATTGAGCTCTGAGGTGAATCGATTTTTAACGGGTGTGAAATCAAAGCCTTAGGAGGGTCGAGCTTGAGGCCTTCAACTTGATGGGTACAGGTACTCCCCAACTTATGACCACTGTTGAGTCGTCATCGCTAAGCGAGATATGTTAAGTGAGTTTGGCCCAATTTTACTGTCTTTCTCGCCACAAATGTTAAGCGAATTATGGCGGTTATTAAGTCACACGGTTGTAAAATGAATCTGGCTTCCCCCTTGACTTTGCTTGTTGGAAGGTCACAAAAGGGGATCCCGGGGACACCACAACCGTCGTAAATACGGGTCAGGTGCCAAGCGTCTGAATTTTGGTCACACGACCGTGGGGATGCTGCAATGGTCGTAAGTGTGGGAAATGGTCATAAGTCCCTTTTTTCAGCACCGTTGTAACTTTGAACGGTCACTAAATGTTATAAGTTGAGGACTACCTGTATGGAATTGGCGTGGCAACAGTGTTTCCACTAGGAAATCTCAAGAGGGCAGAAAAGGTTATTTTTTTTAAAAAAAACGCATTGTACAAGCAGCTTGATTGACGTCTTCATCTCTTTTGCAGTGTTCAATGTTGGCGAGTATCGCCGTGAGGCTGTGAAACGTTACAGCTCTTACAACTTCTTCCGTCCCGACAATGAGGAGGCTATGAAAGTCCGCAAGTAAGCCTGATGGGTTTCCAAATTTCGTTGAATTGTCTGTCTTTCTTTCTTTCTTTCTTTCTTTCTTTCTTTCTTTCTTTCTTTCTTTCTTTCTTTCTTTCTTTCCTTTTCTTTCCCGCCCTACTTTTCTTTCTTTCCCTCTTTTTTCCCCTCTCTTTCTCTCTCCCTCTTTTCCTTCCTTCCTTCCATTTTTCTTTCTTTTTATCTTTCACTCCTTTTCTTTCTTTCCCTCTTTCTCTCTCTTATTCCCTCTTTTCCTTCCTTCCTTCCATTTTTCTTTCCATCTTTCCCTCTTCCCCTTTCTTTCGCTCTTTTTCTTTCTTTCGCTCTTTCTTTCCCTCTCTTTCCCTCTTTTCCTTCCTTTCCCTTCCTTCCTTCCTTCCATTTTTCTTTCCCTCTTCCCTCTATCCCTTTCTTTCCCTCCCTAATTTTCTTTCTTTCCCTCTTTCTTTCCCTTTCTTTCTCTCTCCCTCTTTTCCTTCCTTCCTTCCATTTTTCTTCCCATCTGTCCCTCTTCCCCTTTCTTTCACTCCTTTTCTTTCTTTCCCTCTTTCTTTCTCTTATTCCCTCTTTTCCTTCCTTCCTTCTTTCCTTCCTTCCTTCTTTCCATTTTTCTTTCTTTCGCTCCTTTTCTTTCTTTCCCTCTTTCTTTCCCTCTCTTTCTTTTTCCCTCTTTTCCTTCCTTCCTTCCTTCTTTCCCTCTTTCTTTCCCTCTTTTTTCCCTCTCTTTTTTCCTCTTTTCTTTTCTTTTCTTTTCTTTCCTTCCCTCCCTTTCTTTCTTTCTTTCTTTCTTTCTTTCTTTCCCTCTTTCCCTCTTTCCCTTTCTTTCCCTCCCTTCTTTTCTTTCTCTTTCCCTCTCTTGGTCGTAACTTGGGACGGACGCTAAGCGAGGACTACCTGTATCAGAGTAGTCCTTTTCCAACCACGTGAATAGATTGTTACAGGAAAGTCTTTAACCTTCCTGCTTTCCGCACTTGAAAGAGGCAAATCCACAGCCGTATTCTTCGGTGTGTAAATGGAGACATTGTCCTTTGTTGACCGTTCCAGCTGACTGTTTGAACAAGGCACAATTGCCTCCTTCTCCTAAGGAGCTGGGGTGGCGTCCAAGCGCCGGTTTTGTGGCATACAAAAGCCCACAACAGATTCCATGCACCCCGTGGCCGAAGGGCTTTACCCTGGCTGTGGAAAGAGAAAGCAACTGCTTCGCAGGAGTCAGACAAATCTGCAAGCAACCTCAGCTGCATGATAAAAGGAATTTTATTGCGAACAGAAATTTCTAAAATCCAGACTGCAATTCCTTTGTGTGTGTGTGTGTGTGTGTGAGCTTCCACCTATGTATCAATTAAGGTGCTAGTCCTCAGGGTTATGGATGAAGCTGCACAAACCTCGGCAGCGAGTCCTCAACTTACAACAGTGCCTTTAGTGACTGTTTGAAGTTACAGCAACACTGAAAAAAGTGACATGACCAGTTTTCATACGTAACGACCGTCGCAGCATCTCTGTTCAAAATTCAGAGGCTTGGCAACTGGCTCGCATTTATGACAGTTGCCGTGTCCCGGGGTCACGTGATCCCCTTTTGTGACCTTCGGATGAACAAAGTCAATGGGGAAGCCAGATTCACTTAACAACCGTGTTACTAAATTAACAACTGCAGTGACGGTCACTTAACAACTTAGCAACAGAAGTTTTGGGCTGAATTGTGGTTGTAAGTTAAGGATCTGCTTTATTTAAGCAGCCGTTCTGGAAACTACATGATGATGATAATGATGATGATAGTTGGAAGGGACCTTGGAGGTCATCTAGTCCAACCCTCCATATGTGTCTATGGAGATTCTCAGTCATCCAGGTCACGGTTATTAGAACAGAACAGAACAGAATAGAAAATATAGAATAGAATAGAATAGAATAGAATAGAATTAGCAAAGTTGGAAGGGACCTTGTAGGTCATCTAGTCCAACCCTTCCCAAGCAGGAGACTTCTTCAAGGAAAAACAAAGAAAGTTCAGTTGCCTTTTGAAAAAAACACCCTTGGGATGTGTGAATACATGTAGTTTTTACTCCCACTGTGGAGATTTTTAAAATGTTATTATATTTTTGTCCTTCCTGAAGCTGGTTGCAGAGTATCCCCTTTCTCTGCACTAAGCACATTTCTGACAGAAAGTGATACGTTGTTTATCTTGAGGGACCTGGTGAAGGAGCAGTGTATATCTTTGGTGAGGTGAGGTGGACTGTATCCAAAATTACCTCACCGGTTCTTATTTAAATTCTTATTTAAATTTATTTTCCCTACAATGTTCAAAACATTCTTACTGGTTAAATTTTTCCCAGAGTTACGATGAGGCAACTAAGATGACCAGATAGAAAAGAAGCATGATACTGAGGTGATTATTCTTGGTAGAAATTTTACAAAATTACCTCATCAGGGCTACTCCTAGATGACAGTCCAAAGATCTCAAGACCCTGGTCTCCATGCTGCTATCTTGCAAACCAGACAGCCTTACTAAATAGCCTGAGGGTTGTTTTTAAACTGTTGTGTGATGATCTAAACAAGCCTTAATCAGCCTTTTGTGCTTTACTTACAGACAGTGTGCCTTAAGTGCCTTGAGAGATGTCAAACTCTACCTGTCTGACGAAGGTGGTCAGATTGCAGTAAGTGATGTTCCTTGAAGACATCTTGTGAAGATGGCCTTGTTTGACACAGCCCCGCCTGGTCTAATTTAAATTGTTTTAATGAAACTCCTCCAGACCTACCTTGTGGTTTTAAATTTGCAGGAATCCCTAGAGATCCCGGAGTCCACAGTAGGTTGAAACCTGTGATTCCAATAAAGGGGAATATTTGTAACAGCATTGAAATGAGGGGTCCTTGGTGCTCTCTGAGCTTGGTTGTTTCCTTGCAGACGTTTCATTACCAACCTAGGTAACATCATCAGTGCTCATGATGATGTTAGCTAGTTTGGATAACGAAATGTCTGCAAGAAGACTACCAAGTTCAGAGAGCATCAAGGATCCCTCAAACTTGTGATTCTTTGAATTTTCGCTTGTCTTCATGGCCAAAAATATGTGGGATGGTAGTCTGGCTTTTTTTTTTTTATTTGAAGAGAAGAAAAGATAAACCTTGCACTGGGACCCTAAAGATGTATCCCAGGTGTTTTTTTTAAAACCCTAATTATTCCACCCATCCCATATCCATGATGGAGGAATTGTTTTCAGTTATGGAAAGCAACTGCCAAGGAACTGGGCCCATCCCGTTGCACAGTTGCAGGTTGGTTCTGCTCCTCTGATTTGAAGAAGGTTGGGATCCTGGAAAAGTTGATCTCCTTTTGCTGAAAACCAACAAGCCATCTAATGTCTCTTTTTTAATTTTTCTTTCCCCCCCCCCCAGGTTTTTGACGCCACCAACACAACTCGCGAGCGAAGATCCATGGTCCTGCATTTTGCCAAAGAAAACGGATACAAAGTGAGTGACATTCTTGAACCACAAGGTGAAGGAATTTAAGGCTTGGCCTACTGCTATTTGTACAGCTTCCCTCCCTCAGGACTCTTTCTAGAGCAGGGGTCTTCAAACCTGGCCCTTTTATGACTTGTGGACTTCAACTCCCAGAATTCCTCTGCCAGACACGCTGGCTGAGGAATTCTGGGAGTTGAAGTCCACAAGTCATAAAAGGGCCAAGTTTGAAGACCCCGTTCTGGAGTCTCAATATCTTTTTTACACCGTGGTGACCAAAACTGGATGCAGTATTCCAAGTGTGGCCTTACCAAGGTCTTGTAAAGGGGTATTAACACTTCACGCGATCTCAACTCTATCCCTCTGTTAATGCAGCCCAGCACTGTGTTGGCTTTTTTGGCAGCTGCAGCACACGGCTGGCTCCTATTTAAGTGATTGTCCACTAGGACTCCCAAGATCCCTTAATTCTAATATCTTCTGCTTCATTCAGGTGTTCTTCATCGAATCCGTCTGCAATGATCCCACTGTGGTTGCTAGCAACATCATGGTAAATATGAAGACGGTTTCCTATCTCTCAAGTCTCTCTTATCTTTCAGAAAATTCTTTTAAATATGAGCTGAAGAATAATAACTCCTGGGAAGGGATCATAGTTGAGGGAGAGAACATCCCTCTTGTATGTTCTGAAATGTCTCCATTCTCGACAACGTAGTCCTCAACTTACTGCAGTTCATTTACTAACAACAGTGAAAAATGTGACTTAGGGCCATTTTTCACATGACCGTTGACCGTCCCCGTGGTCACATGATCGAAATTGAGACCCTTGGCAACTGACTCATCTTTATGACGGTTACAGTGTCCCGGGATCACGTGATCCCCTTTTGCGACCTTCTGACAGACAGAGTCAATGGGGAAGCCAAGTTCATTTAACAACCGTGTGACTTATTTCACAACTGCAATAAGTAAGGTTGTAAAATGGGGGAAAACTCACTTAACTGTCTCGGTTAGCAACGGGTATTTGGGGCTCAGTTGTGGTCGTAAGTTGAGGACTACCTGTAGTAGTACTGAAGCCACAAGGCAGATTTTGAACACGGTGGACATTATTCTGTTAACAGCGTTTGTCAACTTTGTCAACTCTTAAGATGTGTGAGCCAACTCCCAGAATCTGGCTGGGGAATTCTGGGAGTTGAAGTCCACACATCTTAACGAGTTGCCAAGGTTGAGAAACATCTCTTGTTAACATGGCTAGAATAGGCTTGATGTAAGGATGGGCTTGTTATCATTATCTTTACCTTTCTAACATTTCCTATTTTAGGAAGTCAAGCTGTCCAGCCCAGATTATAAGGACTGCAACTCAACAGACGCCATGGAAGATTTCATGAAGAGAATCAGCTGCTATCAGTCCAGTTACCAGCCTCTTGATCCAGATGGATATGACAGGTGAAAAAAAACCCCACTGAGATAACTACTACTGGGTCTAGATTTGCCTTCAGACAGCTAAAGCTGGGTCTAGATTTGCCTTCAGACAACTAAAACTAGCTGGACGCTAGCATGAATGTGTTCCTCACTGCAAGATGTGCGAGGAATAGAATAGGATAGAATAGAACAGGAGAGGACAGAACAGAACAGAATAGAATAGAACAGAACAGAACAGGAAAGAACAGGAAAGAATAGAATAGAATAGAATAGAATAGAATAGGATAGGATAGGATAGGATAGGATAGGATAGGATAGGATAGGATAGGATAGAATAGAATAGAATAGAATAGAATAGAATAGGAAATAGAATAGAATAGGAAATAGAATAGAATAGGAAATAGAATAGAATAGGAAAGAATAGGGAATAGAATAGAATAGAATAAACAGAGTTGGAAGGGACCTTGGAGGTCATCTAGTCCAACCCCCTGCTCAGGCAGGAAACCCTATACCATTTCAGACAAATGGTTGTCCAGTCTCTTCTTAAAAACCTCCAGTGTTGAAGCATTCCCCTGTTGGTCATCCTTTGCTATTTTTGTCCCTAGAGAGTTGTCGCTCATCAAAGTGATTGATGTTGGTCGAAGATACCTGGTGAACAGAGTCCAGGACCACATCCAAAGTCGGATTGTCTACTACTTGATGAACATCCACGTGCAGCCCCGGACCATCTACTTGTGCCGGCACGGCGAGAGCGAATTCAACCTCAAAGGGAAGATCGGGGGCGACTCGGGGCTCTCCACCAGAGGCAAGAAGGTACGGGTGGGATTTACTCCTGAGTAAATGGAGATGGGAGTGGGCTAGTAGGAACGTAAGCCAGAATTGCCTTCACAGAGAAGAAGGGGTGACCTTCACAAAAGCCAATGAACTTCCTCTGAAAACATCTTACAGTGCTTGTGGTGATCACCAAGGCCAGGGGTAGGCAACCTTGGCTCTTTTATGACTCGTGGACTTCAACTCCCAGAATTCCTGAGCCAGCCATGCTGAGGGGAAAGGGAGAGGTTTCCAAGCTGAGCCATGCTGGCTCAGGAATTCTGGGAGTTGAAGTCTACAGAGTCATAAAAGAGCCAAGATTGCCTATCCCTGGTCTAGGCCTAGGCCGCTTTATGACTGGTGGACTTCAACGCCCAGAATTCCTGAGCCAGCCATGCTGAGGGGAAAGGGAGAGGTTTCCATGCTGAGCCATGCTGGCTCAGGAATTCTGGGCGTTGAAGTCCATCAGTCATAAAAGAGCCAAGGTTGCCTACCCCTGACCAAGGCTAACCAATTTCTAAAGTATTTCTTGAGAAATCTCCCTGATGCAAAAAGACAAACTTCACTTTAGTTTGTTCCTCCATTAAACAACATTTGGAAGACAGAGGAACTCTTCAGACTCCGTGGGGGAAGTCTTGAAGCTTCTGGAGAACTTTGTGGTTGTCTAGATTCTAGAAGACGTTCTTAAAAGGAGTTCCGTCTTTCTCAATCTGGTGAAGGAAGATCGAATAGCTCAGCTTTTCTGTTGACTTTCAGGACTCCTCTTGGCAGATTTCTTGGCAACAATATCGAAGTCATTTCCAGGATTTATTATTATTTTTTTCAAATTTTCCTGTCTGGGCCTGACCAAATACATTTTTCTTTGGTCCTGACAAACTGTTAGCCCAAACCACAGGAGCTGAATCATAATTTTCCGTATTTCCTTTCTTTTCCAGTTTGCCAGCGAGCTGAATAATTTTGTCAAGGAGCAAAACCTAAATGATCTCAAAGTTTGGACCAGCCATCTAAAGAGGACAATCCAAACAGCAGAAGCTCTTGATCTGCCCTACGAGCAGTGGAAAGCTTTGAATGAAATTGATGCTGTAAGAACCCCCCCCTTTTTTTTTTTCCTTCGATTGCAGAATAAACCAGAGGGTTTTGGTGGGAAAAGCTGTCATCTTTACACACACACACACACACAAACACACACATCTCTCTGACTCTGCAAAGTCCTGGCTCTCCTAGGAAGGGTTGAGAAGAATTGGATGATCACCCTTCTTTTATTTTGGAAGAAAGGGCCCTTTATTTTCCTGTCAGTTGTGAGAGTGTGAGAATTAGTTCCCACACAGTTGTGTAAGCACAAGATGGGCAGGTGCAGAAACGTAAGGGCACGAGGCCAGCCTGTTGGAGAGAGAGGACAAGAAGTTCTTACCTAAAGCTGGAACGGAAAAAAAAGAACGCAAGAGAGTTTGGAACTTGTTTCTACATAGCAGGAATCTCCAAACCTGGCGACTTTAAGACTTGTGGACTTCAACTCCCAGAATTCCTCAGCCAGCCAGCCAGCCAGGTAATCTGAATAACCAGGCTGTTTGTGTAGAATTCTAGGAGTTGAAGGCCACAGATCTGGAAGTTGTCCAGCTAGGGAAACAGGTTTTGTACCAACTGGCAGAGACACCTCTAGGCCAGGGGTAGGCAACCTTGGCTTTTTTATGACTGGTGGACTTCAACTCCCAGAATTCCTGAGCCAGCCATGCTGAGGGGAAAGGGAGAGGTTTCCAAGCTGAGCCATGCTGGCTCAGGAATTCTGGGAGTTGAAGTCCACGAGTCATAAAAGAACCGAGGTTGCCTACCCCTGGTCTAGGATAAGGGTGTTCAACCTTGGCAACTATAAGACTTGTAGACTACAACTCCCAGGATTCCCCAGCCAGCCATGTTGAAGTTCACAAGTCTTAAAAGTTACCAAGTTTGGGGAAACCTTCTATACAGAAAACACAGCAGATGTTGAAAGTCTTTGAGTTATGGCGGGCTGAGTGCAGTCTGGTGCACAGATTGACAGAAGTTGGAGAGCGGGCTATAAAGTGAATTTCTCCTCCTCCTCCTCCTCCTCCTCCTCCTCCATCTCTTTGTTCTTGTAGGGTGTCTGCGAAGACATGACTTACGATGAAATCAAGGAAAAGTATCCTGAAGAATTTGCTCTACGCGATCAGGACAAATATTATTACCGCTATCCATCTGGAGAGGTGTGTGTTTTGGTACACCAAGTGTGTTTTTAACCATCGGGTGGGATGCCCAAGCAGTGTGCTAGCGCTAACCTCCTAGAGTCTGAAATTGGGGGTCTTATGTTTCCCCCCCCTAGTCCCATGTGACTCTTTGGCCAATATTGGAATTATTAAACTAATTGCGCATAGCTATGTACAGGTAATCCTTCACTTACAACCGTTCATTAAGCAGCTGTTCTAAGTTACACCTGCAGTAAAAACAAGTCACTTAAAACTGATCCTCTCATACAAATTGTCCTTGACTTACGACCACAATGGACCCCCAAACCTTCTGTTGTTAAGTGAGACATTTGCCCCATTTTACCACCTTTCTTGCCCCAGTTGTTAAATTAGTAACACTGTTGTTAAGTGAATCTGGCTTCCCCCCATTGACTTTGCTTGTCAGAAGATCTTAAAAGGGAATCACGTGACACTGCAACTGTCATAAATACAAGTCAGTTGCCAAGTGTCTGAATTTTGATCATGTGACGGTCGCAAGGGTGAAAAACAATCGAGGACAACCTGTACTAAAGGAGGCCAAGAAATTCCTCGTACAGGATCCAAGATTGTCTATTTTTGGCACTGAAATCTGCATAGTTTTTGCTTTCTTTAATCAGGGGTCTCCAAACGTGGCAACTTTAAGACTTGTGGACTTCAACTCCCAGAATTCCTCAGCCAGCCAGCCAGTTAATCTGAATCACCAGGGCACCTATTTAGAATTGTGGGTGTTGATGCTGGTGGAGGAATTCTGGGAGTTGAAGTCCGCAAGTCTTAAAAAGTTGCCAAGTTTGGTGATCCCCGCTCATGTCTGGCTCTGCGGCTCCTTTATTTCTTCTGAAAGACAAAATCTGTTTCTTACCTTCTCTTTGTCCTCCCCCCCCCCCCCAGTCCTATCAAGATCTGGTGCAGAGGCTGGAACCGGTGATCATGGAGCTTGAAAGACAGGAAAACGTTGTTGTGATTTGTCATCAAGCCGTGATGAGATGCCTTTTGGCTTACTTCCTCGACAAAAGCGCAGGTGGGTCTCTGCTCTCTGCAGCTTCTCTGACGCAGGAATGAAAGAAAAGAATTTAGGGTTAGAATGAGAATAAAGAGTTGGAAGGGACCTTGTAGGTCATCTAGTCCAACCCACTCCCCCGCCCAAGCAGGAGACCCTACACCAGGGGTAAGCAACCTTGGCTCTTTTATGACTCGTGGACTTCAACTCCCAGAATTCCTGAGCCAGCATGGCTCAGCTTGGAAACCTCTCCCTTTCCCCTCAGCATGGCTGGCTCAGGAATTCTGGGAGTTGAAGTCCACGAGTCATAAAAGAGCCGAGGTTGCCTGCCCCTGCCCTACACCATTTCTGACAGTCTCTTCTTGAAAGCTTCCAGCGATGAAGCTCCCACGTCTTCTGAAGGCAACTTCTGTTCCATCGGTTGATTGTTGTCACTGTCAGAAAATTTCTCCTTATTTCTAGGTTGAATCTCTCCTTGATCAGTTTCCATCGGTTATTCCTTGTCTGGCTTTCAGGTGCTTTGAAAAATAGGTTGATTCCCTCCTCTCTCAAATATTGGAAGACTGCTATCATGTCTCCCCTGGTTCTTCTCTTCACTAGACTAGCCCTGTCCAGTTCCTGTAACCGTTCTTCATAGGTTTTAGCCTCCAGTCCCCTGATCATCTTTGTTGCTCTTCTCTGCACTTTTTCCTAGAGTCTCAAGATCTTTTTTATAGTGTGGTGGCCAAAAGTGGGTGGGAACTGACACCACCATCCCCAAGCAGGGGAGAACTTTTCAAGCAGTGTCTGGAACTGAAGAAGCTTGTGGCACGAGAAGCGAAATGTTTTCAAAGGAAAAACAAACCAAGAACGTCCAGTTTGTCTTTTGGAAAAAGCACCTTTGGGATTTCAAGCAGGGTTTTTGTGTTTTTTTTTCAAACAGGGCCACTTCAACTCCCAGAATTCCCCAGCCACCATTTTGAATTCTGGGAGTTGAAATTTGAAAAGTACTGGATCAGGGGACTTCAAACTTGGCCCTTTTATGACTTGTGGACTTCAACTCCCAGAATTCCTCAGCCAGCCTCCATTTTGTTTGTTAGATTTAAGCCAGGGGTCTTCAAACTTGGCCCTTTTATGACTTGTGGACTTCAACTCCCAGAATTCCTCAGCCAGCCTCCATTTTGTTTGTTAGATTTAAGACAGGGGTCTTCAAACGTGGCCCTTTTATGACTTGTGGACTTCAACTCCCAGAATTCCTCAGCCAGCCTCCATTTTGTTTGTTAGATTTAAGACAGGGGTCTCCAAACGTGGCCCTTTTATGACTTGTGGACTTCAACTCCCAGAATTCCTCAGCCCAGAATTCCTGGCTGAGGAATTCTGGGAGTTGAAGTTCACAAGTCATAAAAGGGCCACGTTTGAAGACCCCTGTACTGGATTAAAGGGGAGTATAAAGGCAGGGTGGGTACCCATTGTGGCGCTGAATAACATTAATTCAGTCCATCATTTTTAATCCTTTTTTTTTCTTCCCTTTCAGAAGAAATGCCTTATCTGAAATGTCCTCTCCACACAGTCCTGAAACTGAGTCCTGTAGCTTACGGTGAGTAAATATATTTCGTAAGAGACCAGGTATGTTCACACAACACGCTCGGCTTGGCTAAAATCAGGCAAGCGAGACAGTTGGTGTGGTGACAGGTCATCCTCGAATTACAGCCATTCATTTGGTGTCCATTTCAAGTTACAAAGGCACTGAAAAAAGCGACTTATGACCCAGGTTGACTCAGCCTTCCATCCTTCCGAGGTCGGTAAAATGAGAACCCAAATTGTTGGGGGTCAATAGGCTGACTCTGTAAACTGCTTAGAGAGAGCTGTAAAGCCCTGTGAAGCTGTATTTAAATCTAAGTACTATTGCTATTTTTCACACTTACAGTCCGCTGCAGCAGTCGCTCCCAAGCTACAAAGGCAGAATCAACAACATAGTTTTTTAGCAAGAAAATGGAGGCTTGTTACTACCCTTCCCCATCTTTGACTCTTATCTGGGCGTTAAGATAAGATGGAAGTCAGTTCAGCTCAGTTTGTTAAGATAGTCCACAGAATGCAGAAGGATCCATTTAGCACTGATTGTATAAACCCCGATCAACGCCCCATAACCCTATCTTAACTTTATTTGCCATCAGAACAGACGGTTTAGCCCAGGAAAATTGCCCTTTGTCTCACTCCCTATTTGTTTATTATCCCTTTGGTTTTGGGCAAAATCGCCACTGCTGTTATCCCAGAGCAGTGCATAAATGAAATTCTTGGGGCTGTTCCCCAATGAAAGAAATTAACGGTTGCTGTTATTATACTTTTGACTTAATTTGAATAGCCTTGCTTTTCTCTCTGGCGTTCCCGAAGGACAAAAGGCTTTTCCTAGGGACGGTTTGACCCCCTGCTAGCTCACCGTTGCTTTTAAAAATTAATCGCCCGGCTGATTTGATTTGAGTTACATTTAACACCTCCTGCTCCAAGTACTTAGGTCTGTTTTGATCTCGTAATCTGATTAAACAGTGCAGCTGAAGGGCTAACGTATTCCTCATCCCGCCATATCCTTTTTTCCTCTCTCTAAGGTTGTCGAGTGGAGTCCATCTATCTGAACGTTGAAGCTGTGAATACTCACCGGGACAGACCAGAGGTGAGCGGGTTTGCTAAAGGGCCATTCTCTCCCCCCCACACACACACAACTTATGCGCTCCTAGCACAAGCTCCTATTCCCCCAAAAAGTTCAGCATCGTATCCATTTTCTTGCCCAATGCTAACCCCTGGCTTGGGACAGTGGGATAGCAATTACCCCAATACTAAAAAATAGGGGGTAAAAATCAAATAATAATAATAATAATAATAATAATAATAATAATAATAATAATAATAATAATAATAATAATAATAATAATAATAATAAAGTTGGAAGGGACCTTGGAGGTCATCTAGTCCAACCCCCTGCTCAAGCAGGAAACCCTATACCATTTCGGACAAATGGCTGTCCAGTCTCTTCTTAAAGACTTCCAGTGTTGGAGCATTCACTGCTTCTGGAGGCAGGTCGTTCCACCGGTTAATTGTTTAACTGTCAGGAAGTTTCTCCTTAGTTCTAGGTTGCTTCTCTCCTTGATCAGTTTCCACCCGTTGCTTCTTGTCCTGCCTTCAGGTGCTTTGGAGAATAGCTTGACTCCCTCTTCTTTGGGGCAGCCCCTGAGATATTGGAAGGCTGCTATCATGTCCCCCCTCATCCTTCTCTTCATTAAACATTAATCTCCAATTCCAGCAACTGTTCCTTATATGTTTTAGCCTCCATTGTTGACTGTTCAAAGTAATTCCCATATATAAGGCCCTAGTGCTCAGTAAGGAGGTCAGTCTTCTACATTGGCGATTCCAATGGCCTATGTGGGGCCCGCATGACTGAATGCTCCCCCTTTGGCAGGGAAGAACCCGCCCCATAGAAAAGTAGCTTGACAGGTGTCAGGCTCCTAAAATCAAAAGAGACACATCGTGATATTTTTTTCCAGGCAATTTCTTTATTGCTCCTCACCCATAGACGGAGTCCAACTAAAGCAGGGGTAGGCAACCTTGGCTCTTTTATGACTCGTGGACTTCAACTCCCAGAATTCCTGAGCCAGCATGGCTAAGCATGGAAACCTCTCCCATGGCTGGCTCAGGAATTCTGGGAGTTGAAGTCCACGAGTCATAAAAGAGCCAAAGGTTGCCTACTCCTGAACTAAAGCATGCTAACACCATCATATAGCTTATCCTCTGGGAACTATTGAGGAGGAGCTGTCTTTGCCCTCTTTCTCACACACAAGCTATCTGGACCAAGTTGTCCGTTGCCCCTTTGGGATGCAGCCCCTCACTTCTGGGAATCCAGACTGCATTCCATAGCGACAGTTTAGCTTTCGTTGTGTAACCACCAACCCGGGTTTTCTACCTCCTTGACATCTATTGTGATTTCAGATTCTCCTGCCATCAATATCTGCTTCCCTGTCTTTGCCAAATATATTTTCTTCCCCCCCCCTAAATAGGAAATCCCTGGGGGTTGTCGTACATTAGGCATTGTGTACTTAAAAAAAGGTGGCAACTTTAAGAGCTATGGACTTCAACTTCCAAAATTCCTCAGCAAACCATAGTCCAGATCCGATTTGTTTCTTGCTTGTGGATTTTATGCGTATGTTGTTGGCCTTTCCAACTGCAGGACTGGCAATCTTATTTTACAACCCTGTTGCTCATCACTGTGGCCAGTAAATAAGGAATAAGAATTGATTTACTCAAAGGCTTCTTTCCGTACTCAAAGGCGGGCTGTGCACCTTTAACATGATCTATAGTCAACGGCTACCAATGTAGGAATTTTGAGCGGAAAGGCAAGCTTTAAACTGGGTTTTGCCTAAAAGGAACTGGATATTATGCAATACTTTAGAAGTACTGGTCAAGATAAGACAAGGGTCAGATTTGATCTTCTGTGGCTTCACTTCCTGTCTAGGTACCTTGTCTTCAGTGAAAGCAGACGATTCTCAACGGTCAATGTCATCAGCTATTTATTTTGTATTTTATAATTTATTTTTTACATTTATATACAGCTTCTCTCACTGTTGAAGCTAAGCATTGTTTCACAGCTGCTGGTTTCCGACCCACATTTTGTAGGGAAAAGATGGTCAAGTTTAATTGATTTCAGTCTGGCTCCGCCTACCTCTTTGGTCTGACTTCACCTCCTTTTTTGGGGGGGGGGACCCCCTCTCTGGATCTAACAATGACCTCAGGCCTCATTGCTGAGTTTCCAATTTCCCAAATCTTTCCATCCTCTTCGTCTGCCTGCAAAAACTAGAACAGTGTTTCTCAACCTTGACAATTTTAAGGCATGTGGACTTCAACTCCCAGAATTCCACAGCCAGCATTGCTGGCTGTGGAATTCTGGGAGTTGAAGTCCACATGCCTTAAAATTGTCAAGGTTGAGAAACACTGAACTAGAAGAACCGGTTCTTCTTCGGCTTCTAAAACCCTGTTTCCTAGAACTGTAGAATGTCAGGCTTGGAAAGCACCTCAAAGGTCATCCAGTCCAACCCTCAGAGGGGGGGGGGGAAATCCGCTCTCCTTGCTTTTGCTTTTGTGTTACGGCGAACCAATGACCCCGTGTTTTTTTTTATAAAAAAAATGCTCTTTTTTTTTTGTTTTCTTCGTAGCTTTCGTCTTCCTTTGCTTTATTGTTATTTTTCTTTATCTTTCTCTCGCTCCAATCTAGGATGCAAAGAAGGGACCTAATGCGCTCATGAGACGCAATAGCTTCGTCCCTCTGGCCAGTCCAGAGCCCGTCAAAAAACCACGCATGAACAGGTTTGAGGATCATGCCGCTGCTTCGGCTGCCTTGCCAATTCACACCTGTCTCTCTCCTGACGGCCCGGTCCAGCTTCCCGGACAAGTTGGTTCTCTTTTCTTTTTGTTGGTGTGTTTTTTGTGGTGATGGTGTGTCGTAACTTGCAGCATGCTTAACCGTCCTGTTGTTTGACCTCTTAGGACAGTGGTCCCCAACCTTTTGGGCATCAGGGACCGGTTCCGTGGAGAGAGGGTTTTCCGCGGACTGGAGGGGGCGTGGTTTCGTGTACTGCCTGCATCCCGCGCGGATGGGGCTTTGCTTGTTTTGGCACGGACCATTTTCTAGGATGCTGCAGCCCGGTGCCGGTCTGTGGCCCGGGGGTTGGGGACCCCTGTCTTAGGAGGCTGTGCTTGGTCTTGCTTAATTTTGTTTGAATGGACTCGACCGCCCGGGACTCTTTCTCTCCCTGACCTTCTCTTGATATCTATCATTGGAGGATTAAATGTTTTTTTGGCTAGCTAACCTAACTAACTTACACAAGCCTGTGAGAGTGTGAGTAGCGTAATCTTGGTTGGACAAGCCCTTGAGTTGCCACGGAAATCAAGACTACCAGATATAGATAATCCTCAATTTAACAGTCCCAACGGCGACCAAAATTTCTATGGCCAAGCAAGGTGGTTGGCCACATGAATTATGCCCAGCTTTGCGGCTTTTTGCCCCAGTCGTTAAGCGGACCGCTGCGATTGTTAAAACGAATTGTGTGATCCTTTCGCAAAGCTGGCTTCCCACGTTGATTTTGCTTTCAGAAAGCAGCTAGGAAAGTCCTAAATAAGGATCACATGATCCTGGGATAATTTGTCATAATTATGTGCTAGTTATTTGTCATATGCCTTTGTCATAATTATGTGCTAGTTATTAAGCACCTAAATTATGTGCTAGTTATTAAGCACCTAAATTTTGCTCCCATGATGCTGGGGATGCTCCTACAGTTGTGGCAGTAAGTGCAAGGACCGGTCGTACGTTATTTTTTTTCCAGCACTGATGTAATTTGGAACGGTCACTAAACAAATGGAAGTCGAGAACTGACTATAATCCAGAGGGGCATTCTTTCCTTGAAGGCTTTGTTGAACATTCATTGAAGAATGTTGGTTTGGTTTGGGTTGTATTTTTGCCTTTTATCAGTCCACACTTTTAAGTTGATTATGATCTCCACTAACTATTCTTAAAAGACTCTAATAGGCTCTGATTAGGAGCAAAGGATTTCAGTGGCATCAGATCAGTTACCGACTGAGGAAAATATTTCTAGCTCAGGGTTGAAATGAAGGATCCTTGCAGACGTGTTAGAGGGGAGTGAAGAGGAGGAAAAGAAAGAAAAGAAAGGAGGGAGGAAGGAAAGAGAAAGAGGAGAAGAACTGTGGGATCCTTGATGCTCTCTGAGCTTGGTGGTTTTCTTGCAGACATTTCATGACCCAACTAGGTAACATCATCAGTGTTAGAAAGGAATGGGGTTTGCTTTCTCTTTACATAGAAGTATACAGGGAAAGCCACTCCCAATAAAAGAGAATATTTGTAGGGTTGAAATGAAGGTGTCCTTAGCGCTCTCGGAGCTTGGTGGTTTTCTTGCAGACGTTTCATGACCCAGCTAGGTAACTTCATCAGTGTTAGAAAGGAATGGGGTTTGATTTGTGTTTACAGAGAAATATACAGGGAAAGCCACTCCCAATAAAAGAGAATATTTGAAATGAAGGTGTCCTTAGCACTCTCTGAGCTTGATGCTTTTCTTTTAGACGTTTCATGATCCAGCTAGGTAACATCATCAGAAGGGAGTGAGGTTTGATTTATGTTTACAGAGAAGTATACAGGGAAAGCCACTCCCAATAAAAGAGAATATTTGTAGGGTTGAAATGAAGGTGTCCTTAGCGCTCTCTGAGCTTGGTGCTTTTCTTGCAGACGTTTCATGACCCAGCTAGGTAACATCATCAGTGTTAGAAGGGTTTGCTTTATGTTTACAGAGAAGTATACAGGGAAAGCCTCTCCCAATAAAAGAGAATATTTGTAGCTGAGGGTTGAAATGAAGGTGTCCTTAGCGCTCTCTGAGCTTGGTGCTTTTCTTGTAGACGTTTCATGACCCAGCTAGGTAACATCATCAGTGTTAGTAGGGAGGGAGGCTTCCTTCTAGCACCAATGATGTTATCTAGTTGGGTAATGAAACGTCTGCATAAAACGACCCCTCCTGAGATCAGTTGCTTGTCGTATTTATTTTGGGGGGGGGTTTGACTCTTGAGAGACCCAGACCAGTGATGGCTCCTCCATCAAAAACATGACATTCTGTGTTTCGTACAATGAAACAAATCCAAAAAAACCGAACACTTTTGCATTTGGCTACTTGCCGGCTCCGTGACCCTCAACCTGGAGAAAGTCTACAAATGTTTTGTCTGAAGGCTTGTAATCTCCAGGCCTGTTTTGGAGGGCCAAAGGAATGAGATTGCCCTGACTTGACCCATTTTCTTTCTCTTTCTTTCTTTCTTTCTTTCTTTCTTTCTTTCTTTCTTTCTTTCTTTCTTTCTTTCTTTCTTTCTTTCTTTCTTTTAAAATGGGAAAGGTCAGAAGAATTTCTCTGTTTCTGCCAGATACAGATCAGTGCAAGCGTCCTGCCTTCATTCTAAACTGCAGTGTTTTGAAATTCGGCCATTTTAAGAGGGGCGGACTTCAACTCCCAGAATTCTCCAGCCAGCCATGCTGGCTGGAGAATTCTGGGAGTTGAAGTCCGCCCCTCTTAAAATGGCCGAAGTTGAGAAATGCTCTGCTCTCCGTTAGCAACCCTTGTTTGAAAAGACTTCCAGTTATTGGTTTTTCTTTTATTTTGATACTTTTTTTCCATGCACGGAGGTTGATGCTTCATGTCACTTGATTTGTCTCCTTCTACCCCATTGCTTTCCATCTCCGAGCTGCCATTTTCTGATTGTTAAGCATTCATGCACCCTCACTGATTTCTTTCCCTTTACTTTATTTCTTTTTTCTCTTTTTTCTTTTGTCTCTTTACAGCCATTACTGGGGAAAGCTTGCCTGTAAGTAATTTTTTTTTTTTTTTTTAGTGTTGGTGATGTTGGTTTAACCTGTTTCTTTGCTGCCTGCCTGGCTGGCTGTGTCTTTGTTTCTTATTTATTTATTAAATTTATATGCCGTCCATCTGGCCGATAAGGTGACTTTTGATTTTGCTGCTAAGAAGCTGTGCTGAGCTTTTAATTTTCCATCTGGCTGTTGCACTTCTGTCATTAATCATTGGGAATTTTCATAGACTGAGAGAATAACACTAGGATGGATGGATGGATGGATGGATGGATGGATGGATGGATGGATGGATGGATGGATGGAGAGAGAGAGAGAGAGAGAGAGAGAGAGAGAGATTGATATAGATAGATAGATAGATATAGATATAGATATAGATTAGATATAGATTAGATATAGATATAGATAAATATAGGTAGACAGACAGACAGACAGGATGGATGGATGGATGGATGGATGGATGGATGGATGGATGGATGGATGGATGGATGGATGGATGGATGGATGGATGGATGATAAATATAGGTGGATGGATGGATGGATAGATATAGAGATAAATATAGGTAGATAGATTGAGATAGATAGATAGATAGATAGATAGATAGATAGATAGATAGATAGATAGATAGATAGATAGATAGATAGATAGATAGATAAACTCACTTAACTGTCTTGCTTAGCAACAGAAATGTTGGGCTCAGCTGTGGTCGTTAACTGGAGGACTGCCTGTATTCCTATAAGGGAGCATGGGAAGTTAAGAAAATAAATTTTCTTAGGAATAAATTCTGCCAGCATCTTTTCCTGGGATAGCAAAGTGAGGGCAAAAGGGCAACAGAGAAGACTTGGCTTCAAGGTAGAAATGGAAGCCAAATTAATTTTGGGGTGCTGATGAAGCACCCCCATCCCTATTTTGAGCCAGTGCTGGGTCAAGCCTTTCCCTCTCACCCATGACAGATGACCATCTTGTTCATTTCCCCCCCCCTTCTTTATTCTCCTTGGACTGAAGTATGGATGCGGGTCTTTCAGCTTCACTCGTTTTTTCCAAAAAGGTGTTTGCTGTGTTGTGTGTGGCATTTGGACTAGCCTCACTTCTTTGCATTGGAATAACAGGTGTTGCAGACATTTGGGGTTTCTGTCCTTTCTCTCCTCCTCCTCCTCCCCCTCCCCTCCCCTCCTCTCTCTCCCTTCTCTCCCTGACCTCTTGTCCTTCCCTCTTCTCCTCCTCTCCTTCCCTCTCCTCTCCTCTCTCCTCCCCTCCTCTCTCTCCTTCCCTCCCTTCCCTTCCTCTCCTCTCCCTGACCCACTGTCCTTCCCCCTTCTCCTCCTCTCCTTCCCTTTCCTCTCTCCTCTCTCCTCTCCCCTCCTCTCCTCTCCCTGACCTCCTGTCCTTCCCTCTTCTCCTCTTCCCTCTTCTCTCCTCTTCCCTCCTCTCTCCTCTTCTCCCCCTCCTCTCCTCTCTCTCCTTCCCTCCCTTCCTTTCCTCTCCTCTCCCTGACCTCCTGACCTTCCCTCTTCTCCTCCTCCTCTCCTTCCCTCTCCTCTCCCCTCCTCTTTCTCCTTTCCTTTCCTCTTCCTGACCTCTTGTCCTTCCCTCTTCTCCTCCTCTCCTTCCCTCTCCTCTCATCTCCTCCCCTCCTCTCTCTCCTTCCCTCCCTTCCCTTCCCCTCCTCTCCCTGACCCACTGTCCTTCCCTCTTCTCCTCCTCCTCTCCTTCCCTCTCCTCTCTCCCCTCCTCTCTCTCCTCCCCTCTCCCCTCCTCTCCTCTCCCTGACCTCCTGTCCTCTCCTCTTCCCTCCTCTCTCTTCTCCCCCTCCTCTCCTCTCCTCTCTCTCCTTCCCTCCCTCCCTTTCCTTCCTTTCCTCTCCTCTCCCTGATCTCCTGACCTTCCCTCTTCTCCTCCTCCTCCTCTCCTTCCCTCTCCTCTCCTCTTCCCTCCTCTTTCTCCTTTCCTCTCCCTGACCTCCTGTCCTTCCCTCTCCTCTTCCCTCCTCTCTCCTCTTCCCCCCTCCTCTCCTCTCCTCTCCCCTCTCTTCTCTCCTCTTATGGGAAAGAGAGGTAGAAATAAATATTCCTTTGGGTTTCAATTGCTTTTATAAAAGTGACAGGCCTTCTGAAAAGTTCATGGCTCCCTTTTCCTGAAATTTCTTTCTTCTTGTTGTTTTGGAACTATTCAAAGTATTTGGATATTTTAGAAATACATTGGTATTTTTTTTTTTAATCAGGTACTCTATGCAGAAGGCTTATGGGGTTTCAGCATTTTTATTTTATTTACTTATATCCTGCCTTTATAAATTTTTTATAGATAACCCGAGGCAGTGAACATGCCAAATATCCTTCCTCCCTCTTATTTTCCCCATAACAACAACCCTGTGAGGTGGATTGGGCTGGGACGGATTGGCCCAAAGTCGCCCAGCCAGTTTTCGTGTCTAAAGCGGGACTAGAACTCACCATCTCCTGATGATTGGCCCAAAGTCACCCAGTTGGCTTGCATGCCCAGGCAGAACTAGAACTCACAGTATCCTAGTGATTGGACCAAAATCACCTAACTGAGTTTCATGGCTAAGGCAGGACTAGAACTCACCATCTCCTGGTGATTGGCCCAAAGTCACCCAGGCAGCTTTCATGCCTACAGCCAAACTAGAACTCACCGTCTCCTGGTTTCTAAGCCAGCACTAGACCAAACTGGCTCTCTAAATTCCTTTAGGCTTCAACATTGGCTTCTTTGAGGACAAGCCAAGACTGTATGCAGAACGTATCAAGGTTGAAATCTCCTAATCTCAAAACATCCCTTTTCGGGAGCAAGAAGCTTGTTAGGACTGGGATATTTCAGCCGCCAAATGTTTGGCGTGCTTCTCTTTCATTTTTTGCTCCTGACCCCCCCCCTGCCCCCGCCCCAAGGGGTTTAATTGATGATTAGCAAGGCAAAGGAGATAATCTTCTAAAAAAATCCGTTTCTTTAATGGTGTTGTGCAAGGGTTGTCAAGCAGCCTGGGGCATACTACTTTGTGTGTCCTGTCTACCAGCGTCTGGATCATGAGTTGCTCACTTCCAGTGTGGTGTGCAGGTTGGTCTGAAGCTACCCAGATGTGTTTGCCCGTTCTCAGGTATTCTGCAAAGATGCTTTTGAGTCAATCTCAGTTCCCGATGATTGCACACTTAAACCATGGCAAGCAATTTCTACATTTCTGCCTTTTCCTCAGGGTCCCCCCCCCCCCGATTTCTCAGACTAGCTACGCTCGTAGAATATTTTATTGCCCCCCCAACCAATCCTAACCGGGTCCAATTCTGCTTAGTCTTCCCACTTCCAAAAAGTTAAGTCGAAGGATATGACCAAATTACAGGTCCCTAATCTGTTGATGTAGCAAAATAATAGCAATAGCGCTTAGACTTATATACCGCTTCACAGCCCTCTCTAAGCAGATTACAAAGTCAGCCCGTTGTCCCTCAACCATCTGGGTCCTCCTTTGACTGACCTTGGAAGGATGGAAGGCTGAGTCAACCTTGAGCTGGTCAGGATTGAACTCCAGGGTGTGGGCAGAGTTTGCCTGCAATACTGCATTCTAACCACTGCACCACTAGCCCTCCCTCCCTCCCTCCCTCCCTCCCTTCCTTCCTTCCTTCCTTCCTTCCTTCCTTCCTTCCTTCCTTCCTTCCGACTTAGCAATAGCCCTTAGACTTATATACCGCTTCACAGTGCCTTTACAGCCCTCTCTAAGTAGTTTACAAAGTCAGCCTGTTACCCCAACAATCTGGGTCCTCATTTTACCGACCTCGGAAGGATGGAAGGCCGAGTCAACCTTAAGCCGGTTGGGATTGAGCTCCAGGCTGTGGGCAGAGTTTGCCTGCAATACCGCATTCTAACCACTGCGCCACTACGGCTCCTAAGATAGTAGAACAGATCGGTGCTTTGAATTTCAGTTCCGTTCTGGAAAACGAGGGTGAGGGTGGAGGTGTGATTATGTCACGTTACCACTGCCGGGATCAAAACTTTCTGTGCAGATCGGTTTGCCGAAATGAGCAGTCAGAATCATTACATTGCATTTGCAATGTGAAGTGCTACAGCAGAGGTCCCCAATTTTTTGGGCACCAGGGACCGGTTCCTTGGAGAGAGGTTTTTCCACGGACCGGAGGGTGTGTGGTTTTGTGTGCTGCCTGCATCCCACGGATGGGGCTTTGCTTGTTTGTGCGGACCGGTTGCCGGCATGCCACGGACCGGTACTGGTCCACTGACTGGGGGTTGGGGACCCCGTGCTACAGGACTTCCTTTAAGAAAATAAGCTTTATCTGTATTGCTTAATTCGTTGTTGTTGTTTTTATAGACATTTGATATGTCCTACAAAAAAAACACCCTTAGGGATATACCTTTGACATGGATTGTAAAACGCAAGGCGGGGCCCATCCACACAGCCCGCAGATCCCATCTTTAAAAGTAACATGTAGTTCTCCCGGCGAGCACCAGGGCCTCTCCAAAGCTCCTTTAAGATACCAGATTTATGTTAGTACCTATATAGGAATAGAATATTTTGTAGCTCAGGGTTTTGAACTGTGGGATCCTTGGTGCTCTCTCACCCCCAGGCGGTTTTCTTGCAGACGTTTCATTACCAAGCTAGGTAACATCATCAGTTTTACGTTAGTAGCCAGGAAACACCAGAATACAATCAATTGTCTGAAGATGGACTTGACAGTTTTTTTAGAAATTGGTCCAGGAGACACGAAAGACCTAACCCAGAGGTAGGCAACCTTGGCTCTTTTATGACTCGTGGACTTCAACTCCCAGAATTCCTGAGCCAACATGGCTCAGCTTGGAAACCTCTCCCTTTCCCTTCAGCATGGCTGGCTCAGGAATTCTGGGAGTTGAAGTCCACGAGTCATAAAAGAGCCAAGGTTGCCTACCCCTGACCTAACCCTTGTAAAGAGAACAGGCAAGGATTGTATGATAAAATGGGCACAAAATATACAAGAACCAATTTCATTGGACACATGGGAGACAATTTGGGTTAGAAATGTAAAATTTACCCAAGCTCAAAATTTAAGGGAGAATTTTTATAAAATGTTTTATAGGTGGCATCTGGATCCTCAAAAACTGTCTTGTATGTACCCTAATCTACAACCTAAGTGTTGGAGATGTGGCAATTTAGATGCATCTTATTTTCATATTTGGTGGACATGTAGAGAAGTTAAAGCATTTTGGATTAAGATATGGTGGAATACTCAAAATATTTTTAAGAAAAAGATAAAGTTTAAGCCGCAGATATTTTTGTTGGGTATTATGGAAGATTTGGATGCGAAAGAAATGGAATTGATGTTGAACTTTATAACTGCTGCAAGACTACTAATAGCTCAGTATTGGAAAACGGAATGTTTACCTACTATAGAAGAATGGTCATTTAAAGTCTCGAATTTAGCAGAAATGGCCAAGATTTCCGCTTATGTGAAGGATCACTCACAAGAAAGATATATTTTGGTTTGGAGAAGATGGATAGATTATATTGAGTGTAAATATGGGACTAAAAATATCATTTGATTTTTGAGTAAATTTTGGAATATTATGGTTGTTTAAAGGTTAGAATATTTTATTTAGTATTATTTTTAATTATTAAAGTGTTGTTATTATTATCATTTTTAATAAATGTACTGTTTAAAAGAGAGTTAAAGGAGGTTACAGATATGTTATTTTAATAGTTGATTAATGTTAAGTAGAGTATGATTATGTTATTGTTAACCCTGTGATTGGCACTGGGAAGGGAGGGGGGTGGAAGGGTGGGAAGGGGAAGGGGGGGATTTATATTGTAAAATTTTATAAAATTTTTAATTAAAAAAAAAAAAGAGAGAACAGGCACCTTGCATGCATATCTAACCATTTTTGTCTCCTGACTTTGTTTCACCTCCAGTTTTTCCCCCGTCTCTAGAACTCTTACCGCGACTGTCCTTGTGTCTTCTGCATGTTGTTCTAGTTGTGCTGCTTCTCCTCCCCTTTCTCCAGACACAAAGCCACCGGCTCATGTTAACCTTCTCTCTTTTTTCTTCCTTTGTCGCCAGAACCTGAACACTCCACACACGCAACCTTGACACTCTTTCGGCGCTACGGCGGGAACCGCGGGTGGACAGCCAAGCGCCCTGGCATCATTCATCTCCGAAACTTGCAGTCTTGCTCCACATCTCTGTTCAGCTCCAGTTGATTTGTTGATGATCTCCATCGCTGGGTTTATATCTTGCCTTCTTGGGACGTAAGAAAATGGAGTTGTGGAAGGAGGAACCACCAGAGAAAAAGAAAGAGAGAGAGAGAAAGAGATGGATGGAGGGGAAAAAAAATAAAGGAAAAGAAAGAGACTTATTTCATCAGCATATAAACTGTGAATCTGAACCTGATTTTAAAGCTGGTTTATTTTTTATTATTATTTTTCATCTCCACTTTGGTAGACTCCAGCAAGCACCAGAGTGCATCTGTACGCACCATACGTCCTAGGTCTCTTGTTATTCTGTTTTTTTTTCTTAAGCAACGAGCTTGCCTTGCAGAAGATCACTGTGCTGATCCCAGCATCTTTAAGATAAAGGGTTAGGGTCAGCCTAGGTGGGCGGCAGCTAAGACAGAGGCGAAGGGGAGAGGAAAAATATTCTGGGTTACATCCGTGCGTCTGTTCCATCTATTCGTCTCTATCTTAGGGGAAGGATTCTCCATGAATTTTAGCTGTCCTCGTGAACTGGTCCAAGACAGAGGCAATCAGTTGCTCTCAGACCTGGAGAGAAGAGGGATAGAGGCCAAAAGCTTGGGAAAAACTATTGGGAAATGTCGTTTTATTTCCACAGAGCGTACACACAAACCACACTTCGTAAGCGAGAGCCTCTTTGTCTCGTCTACGGGCGCATAAACATCCGCCATCTCCACCCACCGGGACTGTGTCCTGGCCCTGCTTTGGGATAGTTTTTGTGTGATGGGACACCACATTTTGTGGACCCTGACTTCTCAAGTGGGTGGGGGGAGGACTTCCCACTCAGGCCGGACTCCAGCCCATTTTTAAAGTCCAGTGTTAAAAGAGATGCGCTGGTCTAAATTTTCAGACCTGGGGGTGTGTGTGGTTTCGCCCCGCCTTGCCTTCTCCCCTTGTGTGTTTGTGTGTGGCTTGTGGGACGGTCTGTTCGGGGGACCGCTGAAGGCTTAAGATGCCTCTTTTTACGTTAGAAGCATCTCACGGTGCAAACAGGGTATGTTCCTATCGACCGACGAATGGGCTTCCGGCAACTGGGACGTTCGTAGAGATCTGAGAGTTGGCAAAGGCTGTTTTTCGAGCTTTCCACTCCTTGAGTCAGCCACGGTTTCCGATCCTCACGTTTGAGACGCCACTGTTTGATCCAGCATCTTAAATCTGTCTTGGCAAGTTTTCCTATCAAGGGGAGGGCTACAGTTTCGTCCTCGGCGTGGCCAATAAAAATTTTTTAAAAAGTGAGACGAATGGCTGACGTACCCCAACGCCTTAGAATAGCCATGTTAGGAGCAAAGTTAAGGTTAGTTTCATTCAGGTGAGTTGATTATTATGGGCCTCCAGGGACCCCCCTCCCTCCCTTTTTTTACATGTTGAAATAATTATCCTCCTTAGAAGCAGTAGAGGGCTGTTTTTAAATGATCGTTTTTGCTAGTTTTGAAGGACATCTGAGTAAGCATGGACCAGAATTTCCCTTGGTGACTTCCCAGCCGTTCTCCTTTTTCCCAGGTGTCACTCAGTTCGTAGGCCTCACGTGTGGCTGGCGAAAGTAACAATAGGCTGGTTTCGAACGCAGGACCTCTTTAAGACTGAACTGTCCTGCCCAAAGGGTTACTGGGAAAGCTGTCCAGGATGAGCAGCTAGTGGGCAGGGTGAGGTCCCAAGGCAGATAGCTGCCTTGTGTGCGAATCTCGCGGGGCGATAAAAGGTGATGTTATTTTCCAAATAAAGGATTGTTTGACCCAGACTCCAAAGTGTTGACTTGCTAATCCGAGATGGTTTTTGTATGTGTGTAGTAACACTCCGTGTAGATCAGAGGTGGGGAACGATGGCCCTTTTATGACTGGTGGACTTCAACTCCCAGAATTCCTGAGGCAGCCAGCGTGGAATTCTGGGAGTTGAAGTCCACGAGCCACGAAAGGGCCATCGTTCCCCTCCCCGTGGTGTAAATGAAAAGCTTTTTCTGCTTGTTAAAATTAGCTTGTTTTATTCTTGTTTTGCTTTTTAAAGACAATTTTTATACATTGGGTGTTTTTCGGAGCTTGTATGTGCCCGAGCACGTAAGATTGATCTTTTTTCTTTTTTAAAAAAAAAAATATCCGTACCTAGGTGTGAATGGCTTCATCTCCAATCCGGCAAATATTTCCTTTTGAAATTCTGCGGGGGAAATAGAGCAAATGGGTGCAAATAAAAATTAACCTTTCCCATCCTCTCCCCAAAAAAGTCCGGGCTGACAAATTGCATTTTGTGATCAATGTTTTAGGCCAACTGTTTTCTTACAAATACTGTCCACTCGAAAGAGATGGAAGTAAGGAAATAGAGAATGATAAGGCCGTCTCCCACCCGTCTGGAAAACACAAATCTCAGAACAAAATGGATTTTTCCTGTTTGAAAAGAAGGGAAAAAGCTCCAAAGGTTGTTAATTACCGTATTGTTGTGGGATTGTGTGGGGTGTTTGTGCTTGCAGAGTGTGGGGAACAAGAATAGGACATGGCACGGAAATTTAAATGCCATTTAAAAATCGCGCCAATGGTTCCTTCTCGGCTTGGGCTTTTTTTCCTTTTGATACTTGAAGTTAGATTTTTTAAAAAAATTATTTTTAACAGCAAGAGGCTATTTATTTATTTAACTGATCTCGCAGAACCACAGAATCCCCCTTCTCCGGTCCTCGTAAATTTTGTACGAAATTTTAAGTTGTGTGTGTATGTACGGAGTGATTTTAATCTTCTTTCCCCTCATCCCTGGAGGTGAAGAGCAGCGCAGCTTATAAAACAGGTCTGCCTTTTTTTTTTGGAAATTTGTATATTTTGCAGTTGCCAGAACAATTAAAATACCATCTTTAACTAGAACGATCGGAATTGTGTTTTGTTTTTGTTTTTTGTTGATCAGACGTCTCCTCCGTTGGAGGATATTGGATGATGGGTGTGAATTTGGTGGGATCGATCTGTCTTTAGAAACTGGGTTAGGTATTTACATATAATTTTATTTTGGCCATGTCAAATTTTGGCTGGAATGAGGTATGTCTAGTTCAGGGGTAGGCAACCTTGGCTCTTTTATGACTCGTGGACTTCAGCTCCCAGAATTCCTGAGCCAGCATGGCTCAGCATGGAAACCTCCCTTTCCCCTCAGCATGGCTGGCTCAGGAATTCTGGGAGTTGAAGTCCACGAGTCATAAAAGAGCCAAGGTGGCCTACCCCTGTCCTAAGTCCTCATGTGACCCTCCTAGGCCAAGGGTAGGCAACCTTGGCCCCCTCATGACTCGTGGACTTCAACTCCCAGAATTCCTGAGCCAGCATGGCTCAGCTTGGAAACCTCTCCCTTTCCCCTCAGCATGGCTGGCTCAGGAATTCTGGGAGTTGAAGTCCACCAGTTATAAAAGAGCCAAGGTTGCCTACCCCTGGTATAGGGTTTCCTGCCTGAGCAGGGGGTTGGACTAGATGACCTCCAAGGTCCCTTCCAACTCTATTATTATTATTATTATTATTATTATTATTATTATTATTATTATTATTCACTTTATCCAATGCCATTGTAATTTCGAGCAGTCACCAAACGAAGTGTTGTAAAAGTCGTGGCCCACTTGTACTTCAGGCAACATAAACCTGAACTATAAGCAAGTCTCAAATATTTGAAAATATATCCGGTAATACAAGGGATTGTCCAGCAGAAAAGAGATGGAAAATCCCAGCCATAAAGCATACTTGCTTTTAAAACCAAACCTTTGATCAGCAAAGGTTTATAGAGAACAAAGATGCTCCTATAGTGGAAGATTATCAAAAAAATACTTTTGAAGGACTCTTTGTCCTGCCAAAAACCCTCGAGATGAAAGATGGTAACCAAGCTGTAAGCAAACAGCTCGTATCTGTTCTCGGGTCTTGCCTTCCTATTAAAAAATGGGGCAGAGTGACTGTTCCTTTTTTCAGCCCTGAAACTGATCCTGCAATCCATTTATTATTATTGTTATTATTATTATTTTTGGATAATTGAGAGCGAGCTGGAAAGAAAAGTGAAGGCCTGTCTCTGCTCTTTAGGATCCGGAGGTAAAATTGGAACACACACACACACGGGTGCCCATTGTGCCCAAAAAAAAAAAATCAAGACAGCAGTCATAACCACCTCATCTCCTTTACAATACAGGTAGTTGTTGACGTAAACCAGGAGGTCTTCAAACTTGGCATTAAGTTGGATTGGAACATGCAACCGATTGCTCCTTGAGCGCTGATAATCAAGGACAAAGTAGATTAACACGTGAAGTGTTAATACCACTTTACAATGCTTTGGTAAGGCCACACCTGGAACACTGCATCCAGTTTTCGTCACCACGATGTAAAAAAGATGTTGAGACTCTAGAAAGAGGGCAGAGAAGAGCAACAAAGATGATCAGGGGACTCGAGGCTAAAACATATAAGGAATGGTGGCTGGAATTGGGGATGTCTAGTTTAATGAAGAGAAGGACGAGGGGGGACATGATAGCAGCATTCCAATATCTCAGGAGCTGCCCCAAAGAAGAGGGAGTCAAGCTATTCTCCAAAGTGCCTGAAGGCAGGACAAGAAGCAACGGATGGAAAATCATCAAGGAGAGAAGCAACCGAGAACTAAGGAGAAACTTCGTGACAGTTAAACAATTAACCAGTGGAACAACCTGCCTCCAGAAGTGATGAATGCTCCAACACTGAAAGTTTTTAAAAAGAGACTGGACAGCCATTTGTTTGAAATGGCATAGGGTTCCTGCCTGAGCAGGGGGGTTGGACTAGAAGACCTCCAAGGTCCCTTCCATCTCTTCTACTACTACTACTACTACTACTACTACTACTACTACTACTACTACTACAACATTATTATTATTATTATTATTATTATTATTATTATTAATATTAATTGGTGACGATTTTTAGAAGCCACATAGATAGATCTTCTCTCCTCAATGACCTACCTCAACTTAGCCCTTCACGTTCTTGCTATAACCAAGCCCATCCATCTTGGTGCTGATCATCCTCTTTTTCTCTTTCCTTCCTTCTTTCCCAGTATTACAGCTTTCTCTAGAGTTCCGTCTGTCCATAATAGGATAA